AATATATTTCACCATGGTAAAGACTCTGTGAATATTTTACTTCTACCAATGATCAGCATTCTGGCCTCTCCTTTGATATGCAGGTGAATTTACCTGGTAGTTAACCACATAGCATGAGAAAAAGTGAACAAACTAGAAATTAATGTTTTTCTTCCTGCCAAGTAGTTCTGCAAGTTTTCCATTCGGGAACACTTCCCAATTTCTTAGTAACCAAAATATGACCATCCACCCGCACATCACAATGCAAAAGCTGCCCTTATTTTTTTATTATAAACCACTTCTGCAAAAATATTTCTCTTAAAGCACCTATCACAATGTTATCTCATAAAAGTTAAAAAAAAAAATGAACACACATCGCAATAAAAAAATTTTTTTTAAAAGAGATATTTTTGTAAAGTCCTAGTTGTGAACCATTTAATCATAGCACAAACAGGCATTGGTGAGGCTAGGCAGTTCCTAAGCTGAACTGAATCACCAAAAGGGGAATTTATTTGACTATTTAGAGCTGTTCCACCTTTCTCGTGTGTGTGAGACCCAGAATGTGCTAATGGGATAGCCAAAACATCCTACTTCTTTGTATTTATAAATACATTTATATTTATAAAGAGGTCACTAAAAACTTTACAAATATATCTTATTTTTCTCCACTCTCTGGGCAAAGATATGTTCCATCTTTCTTTTTTTGAGTCAGAGTCTCACTCTGTCACCCAGGTTAAAGTGCAGTGGCACATTCACGGCCACCACAGCCTCTAACTGCTGGGCTCGGGCTAGTCTTCCGCCACAGCCTTCCAAGTAGCTAGAACTACAGGCGTGTGCCACCACGCCCGATTAATTTTTTGATTTATTGTGGAGGATGAGGTATTGCCAAGTTGCCCAGGCTGGTCTTGAACCCCTGGACTCAGGCAATCCTCTTGCCTCGGCCTCCCAAAGTGCTGGGATTACAGGTGTGAGCCACCACACCCAGCAATAAGTTCCAATTTTGACCCACAGATTTTATATGGCTGGAAACAACGCAAAACAAATAACAAAACAAGTCAAATAAGTGGGAGACAGTACTATCTCTTAGATATGTCAACAATTTTGTATTTTTGCCATGAGGAGTGGGGAACTCAAATGTTTACATAGCACATTTCCTTTAAGAAACCTGCATTTCAATGTAACGAATACATTAAACTTTGATTGTGAGATGCTTACCTTAGCTTTTTAAAAAAGTAGTATTGAAAAAAATATTTAGAAGATCTCCCTGTTTTAGTAGAACAGGGATATTCTTTATAAAAAGAGCTTTTATAAGGAGGAAAAAATATAAAACTTCATAAATCTAAGCCCTAATGTGGAGATTAGGGAATTTGGAGAGACCTTCTTCAATATGTCCAAGAAAATAGCCAGCTAAACAAATAGTAGAAACAAAATACTTCAGAAATGTTTTGCAAATGTTAAGATTTTACATTATTCTCAGATGATATCTGACAAAATTTCTACTCAGTAACACTCAAGTCTTTGTTTATGGTGGATGCAGAAATGCACTTAGCAGTCAGCAAATATTAAATGTTTTAACTCAGAGAGTTTGACTTGCCATGCAATTTGGAGCAGACCATTTCCTGTTCTTGCCATCTGCAGGTTTCTCACCTGTAAGCTGAGAACAATGTTCTCTACCCTCAATACGGGGGAGAAAATGTTCCACCAAGCAAAGCAGTTTGATAATTTAAAACATTATGAAGTATAAGGATTATAGTTTATGTGACTACCACTACTTGCTTTCAAACGGCTGCTTAATTTTAGCAGCAGTTTTTCAGATAAAGTTAACGTGGAGTGAAGAAATATTAAAAATACTTCTTGCTTTTTAAATTCTCAGATTGCTGATAGGACCACAATTCTCTCTCCTTTCTGCCCCTTAATTTTCCCTTATTATACTCAAAAGAGCTTCTCATGGCTTACTTAAAGCCTCCTTAAGAATTGTGCAAAAAACTTTCTCACCCAGATTATAGAATGGTTCCTATTATTGCCAACAACCAAAGAATTCCAAAGGGGTAACTTTACATTAAAAATAGTGAAGCCATACAGAAATAGTATATTTAACTTCGTATACAATTTTTTTTTGCAAAACACTCAAACACTAGTAAATAAGAGTTAAACGTTGTTGGAATTGGTAGGGAAAGAGCACTCAGTATTAACCTTTTACCTATTCCTAAAATATGAATTTGCCTGAAACTAGAAAGAGCTGTTTAAAAGTTCTTGATCTCTTATGGTGTAATACCTAAAAGAGCTCATAAGACATGATTTTAAAAGACAGGAAAAGACAACTTGACCAAGATTACCGTTATTCTTAAAATGAACCTCACTGCTATTCTTAAAATGAAACTTGTGTAACTGTGTAAAGGCTCTTGGGAATGGAGACAGGACAGAGAGAAGGGCAAGCAAAAGATTTTTAATTTAAATAAAATCAAAGGAAAAAAACTGTGGGAAGAATGAAAGTGCATTTAGTGACACTGCAACTTTAGTAAAATGTGAAAAGAAAAACAACAAGTTTCTGGTTAAGGGTTATAAGGTTCATATCTTGCCAAATGGAGAAGAAACCAAAATACTTTCCAATATTGTTTTCTCTAAAATGAAGAATCTTCTGATAACTGCCAGATTTCTTTTTTATAAATAAGAGAGAATGTTTTCCATAACAGCTGCTATGGATGAAATTTCTATTTTTCGGAAAAGTAGGGTTATACTGTTAACCAAGGGTTTCCAAAGTTGCATTCAAACATAAATGGGTTAAATCAGCTAATACGTTTTACTTCTGATAACATTTCTACCTTGGACCAAGTTTTGCTTTAACATAGGGGACAGCTATGTCTGAAAATACTAGAAGAAAATTTATGACTCAGACATGACCATGGATATTACAGTAAGGGTGGGAAAGGGTATAGCCAATAAGGAACAGATTCACGATGGAATTTTAGTGCTAGAAATATCAAATATTACAAAAAAGGAAATATTGAATATGGCATTCTACTAAAAAAGAAATTAGAATACACTATAAGCTCCTTAAGAGTGAAAATTAGGAGTGGCAAAATAAGGAATACCTTTGGATTACTTGAGGGAACAAAATATATGACTTTTGAAACTGACAATGGTGTTTGACTGGGAGTGCAGAAGAAATGAGGATTAAAATAAAGTCATCCAGATATTGGAAGGCAGAGAATTAAAATCTGTAGTGTTCAGTGTGGACATATAAGATAGCGATGTCCTGCGTAAAAGCCAGCTCTACCATCTCAGAAAATAATAGAGGAACTCAGTTTCTATTTTATACACATAAGGAAAAACATGCTGATGAATCTCAATACATTCTAAGAAAACACACATATTTAATTCTGATGAAGGACATACTAATTCTGAGTCTGACGTTCTGAATTACATTCCTGAGCCATGGATGACATTATTTTTTTAAAGCTGACAGAAAAAAGGTCAACATGGAGCATGATTTGAAATGAGTAACTCCAGACTCCTTCAGCAATCACATACTGATTACATCCCTTGGTTAAATGTGCCATACTATTGGTGTTGAAATTATAAATTCAATATACTATGGGCAAGTTTATGAGCTATGCACAATAAAAATAGTATTCCAACACATGTAGATAGACACACCAAAATAAACTATTCTGGGACGTAATTGTGAGACCAACTAGTCAAGGGCATGAAGTCTATCACCATGGCTAGGTAGTATATACAGTGAAAATATACTTTCCTTAATTGTTTTTATCACCCACTATTTTATAACTCCTTAGATATGCATAATACACGTTCCAGGAGAATTGAAAGCCTGTACTGTATAAGCATTTGATACTTATTTACTTCCCAGTGATAAATATCGTCTGCATAAGAAAATCAAGTTTTCCTACAGTTCTGCTGAACACAAGGTGGTCCTTATGTGTTTAAGTTTTCATGACAAACTGACATCAACATCTGTTCTCTGGACCCCAGTGATTGAAATGAGACTTTTAAGGTGGCCTCCACTGCTGTGAGAGGGCACTACCAAATTACCTTATTTCACAATTCTCTTATCATAAATTCTATAAAAGGTCACAATTCACAGTTGTATTAAATCTAGACAAAAGAAAGATTTCCATGCATTAAGGTATGAAATTGAGGTTAACTATATAGTAAAGGTTGCATACAGCTACTGATTTAGTTGGCACATGCAAAGGAAACGCTGTGCCCACTGTCAGTGGACGCTGTCATGCAATAATGTTATAACTTTGTCCCAGATAAAAAGTCAATTTAATTTGTTTTAAAAAAGACTAATTTAGGGTTATTTTCACACATGCTATTGTGAAATGATTTAGGTGTCCACTGCAGTAGTAATGTTAGAAAGTAGGTTGCTTCATGTGATTTAAGTCAGTAGCTCATTTACACAAGGCTATGCATTAAATTATGTACTGGGGTTATGTCTTAAGTAAATTGCTATGGACCTCATCTAGCTGAAGTTCTATATTTAGCAAATGAAATTACTCCATCAACATGCAGATTAAATAACAAAGATGTTGGAAAGTTATTTAAGATGTAAACATGTTGCAATAATTTACCTACAGCTATATATTTTCAGATAGCTTCACTTTCCAATAATACTGTCTTAATTACGTTTATGACATGGTCATTTGATACTTTGTGGATGAATTGAAAACAAGATGTAAGCGAGGCTGACAAGCACAAGAAAAAAAGAGAAATATCAACAATGGCCCAAGAGCCATTAGAAATGGAATTTCAAGGGGCAGCACGATATTTTGTAGAATTCTACAATAGGCAGGATTTACTCTCTCATTATAGTTGGCAAGTCTGTAGCATATTATGAACTGGGTTAACTTGGATGTCATGTATCTATGTATTCAATGTTTATACCGTGAACACAGGCAGATTTAAAAACCAATTAGAGTGTTATAAAGAGGTATAAGAAAAGGTGATCATTACAGTAAAACATCACAGAGAAATAGAAATAATGTTAGATGACCAGCTTTATGAGTGAAAATGTCATTTCAAACAAATTTATTTCCTTGCTTAATGAGAAAGACCATTCTAAAAGCAGTGTAGCCAGGATACAGTCACAATGCTGCAGAACATTGAGTAAGCATAAGCTTTAAAAAATCACAGGGCAGGGAATGGGATGGCAAACTGTCAAAATTAGGCAAGAGTCCAACATAGTAGGAATCCAGTATGGTTCCCATGGTGGGTAATCACTTTAGACAGTCCATTCATGATGTTAATTACAATAATGGAATGGAAACATTTCAGTTGAGACTAGATATTTTCATGTACTTGTTTTGATAAACTGCAACAAGCTTCACAAATCCCAATAGCTCAATAAATTACACTGGTGTTTAAATTTTAGATTGTTATGAAACTTATTTAAAGTTAGTAACAGATTGAATTACTGCATATATACTACCATGGATTATTTTGAAGGTAATTTGCTATTTCTTTAAAAAATATTTGTAAGGGATCTTTTAGGATTTTAATTCTTCAAGTTTACTATGTCATAGGTGGTGATTCAAGGAAAAACAAGTGATACTTAAATTTTGCAGGTATTCAATAAGTATAGACTGGAAGAACGCATAGATGGGTGGATGGATAAAGGACCATAAAACTTTATCCATTAAAACTGGTGAGGAAATAATTTCTAGTGGGAGCTAAGGCCTAAATTCTAAAACATAATATTACAAGGGTGTATTCCTGATCGTCTAATACTAGTAAATATCTTATTGAAGCAGCTGAAGCAATAAACAATCACTTATTTATATACTTATATGTATAGGAAACCTTAGGCTCACAAAAATATACATGTTTTAAAACGGAAATCTAAGGCACACAAAATACTAAAACAAGTCAATGAATTACCCTATTTTACATATTCAAGAAGCAGAAATCTACTTGTACAAGATGATATTCTATCAACGGACATTTTGTTATTTACAGTCCCTTCATATTCCTTTCCTTTGATTAGTCAAAAGCTTGAAACAGATACTTTGCACCATATATTATTTTAGTAAATTACAATGAGTTTTTCTTTAGAGAGCTTGCTGGAACTGTTTGCTTTTGCACCAAAATTTTGAGAGTTAGCGGTTTTGGGCTTCCTATGGCATTTCCAAGGGAGAAGCACCATTAGGTTTTCCATACTCCCAAGGAATCTGACACTTTGAATGTTATAGCACCTCTGCATTTTAATAGAATCAAGTATTTCATTGAAAGTTCTTTTGTTCTCAACATGTTGTTTGGGCAATCCTTTTTGTTTTGCTATAAAACGAGTTAATATAGTAATGGGAATAAATAACGGGAAGACTAAAATAAGTGGAGTGCCTATTTTCCTGTTACCTAGAACATAGGCAGTTATCAGAGAAGATGTGTTATCATTTTCCCAAATCTAATATGCTAAGATAAACAAATGTATTAGCTCTTACTGGACAAAGTCATGTTTATAGTACCATCCCTCTTGTTTGGAGGTTGGGAAGGCTTGTGATAATAGGGAATTTGTTTTCAGATGATTTCTACATGATTTTTTTCCCCTTAGTCTATATCAGATTCTCAGAACAAATAAGGCAATTTGGGATGGGTAGGGCTCTGACTACTTTTTATGTTTTATTACCTTGAAACATTAGAAGCATTTGACTCTTCTGAAACCTGTCCCTTCATCTGCTTTTGGAAACACCTTTCATGAAATATATTGAGAAAGTTGGGATGAAAGTAAACTGAGGCCACTGTTGTTCAATAAAGTCAGAAGAGACCACCCATTTAGTTTCCAAAAAAAAAGTTAGTCAATAATGGTGACATGTTCCCTAATTAAAATTTTAGAGATAATTGACAATTTTTGCATTATCTAGCTATTTTATATATTGTAAGTTGCTAATATTTGAATGTGAAAGGACACACTAAAAGAACACAAACCATACACATGATTAGAATACATACTGTAGTTAACAAGATGGAACTCTACACAGCAAGAATAAATGATTTCTCTTGTATGCAAATATGCACAAACAATAGACAATAGGATTCTTATACTATATTATTTCAAGTTACTTTTAAAAATAGAAAGTGCTTTTAAAATATATATTTACAATTTATGAACAGCCTCCAACCATTACTAACAATAATGAATTATTCTATACAGGAGAAGTATTTTAAGAGAGAAAACATTTCATAAATTTATTTCAAAGGAATATGCTGATTTTCTAGCAATGATTGGAAGATGTTGGAACAATGGCACCATGAAATAATAATTCAGCTTATTTTTAACTGTGTCAATGTGGTTAAGCACCAGGAACTGTGTAGAGTTAACACTGTGTGTCTTGATTTTATATCATAGAACGTGAACCTGTTAAAATCCTCTAAAAATGACTCTTGTTTCATAGTAAACAGACTTAATTTAAAGCACCAAACTGAGTGATTCTACCAAGGTTAATACCTAACCAAAACGTTTCTTTATGTATTTAAAACTATAAAACTTTTATTTTTGCTTAAAATGTGCACCTTCTACCAATTGTCAAAATATAGTCACAGTTAAGAATACCCACCCCATTTTTTTTTTTTACCTCAGACTTGAAATGGGTGAGATGAAGGTACAGTAAACGACAACATGACTTTCTTTTAACAGCACCTTGAAAAAATACACTGCACTAGCAAAGGCATTAAGAAGGGAAGAGAAGCCTTCAGACCCAATGGTTATAGGGCCCTGCAACATGTGTGAGAGCATAGGGGGACACGGTGACAACATTGTCATGGGTTAACGTTAACGCTTTATGAGAAGGAATTTGGTTCAATTCATTTACTTCAGGGGACAGTTCGGGACCCTCATTAGCTGCCTGGTCTTTTTGCTCTGAGGCCTTCGTTTTCTTATTCTTAGCTTCTTTAGCCTCAAACTTAATTTTGTTTAGTTCAAAACCGTGTTGGGGCTTATTCAGGTTTTTGTGCTGGTAAAAAACAAGGGAGAGGCGAGTGGGATGATTACGGTTTGGGTGCTCGACAGGAGTTGTAGCATGAAGCTCCCGTCGGGCACACTCGATCAAAACCGAGCCGTGAGCAGGTGCAATGGCCACCCCACCAATATTGGCATCCAAGAAGATGTGCTCACTGTCTGACCAATACTCATCAATGTGGGGCAGTTTCTCCTCAGCAGGTGACAGGGGATCATCAGACAGGGGCTCGTCGGACAGAGGCTCATCTACTTCAGAATGCTGCTCATCTTCTTCCATCAGAGAAGACGCAAGTTCAGGAGAGGTAAGGAATGGGGACTGCTGGTTTGGCTGATTAGAAGTTAGCTGCTCAGATGGACCAGTGGGAAGTTCTGAATAAACCAAGGAATTGGTTGCAGGAGTAGACTGAGTGGGAAGGGGAGCCACTTCACTAGGCTGTGCAATTCCAATGCATTCTGCATCAACTGCATTGGCACCACTGAGTCTTCCAGGAGGCATTGTACAGTGGGGAATGCTACTTCTTTCTGAAAACCCGTACGAGGCTGTGGCATCACTCTTAAATGGGGCTGGTGAGGCTGAAGCAGTCTTCGGGGACCAGGAGAAGCCTGGAGACAGGTGTGTATCTTTCACTGGGTGAGGAATGGATGGCATCAGCGAATAGGTTTTAGTGTTGTCTGAACCTTTTAAGATAAAATGGGGCTCGGTTTCGCTTTTTATTTCAGGTTGCACCATCTCAGTTTTATTCCCTAAACAGAGAAAAGGACACCAAAAGTGAAGATACATACAAACTACTTTTGGTAGCTGTTGTCTTCAAAATGTACTTTTAGAGAGAAGTACAAAGAATAATATAACAAAACATTGATGCTGGCCAGTTTTGTTCAATTTATTTCAAATCTCTCTCTCTCTCTCTCTCTCTCACACACACACACACACACACACACACAAAGAGGAACTAAAAATTGTATGTAGTTTGGTATACTTTTTCATCCAACAATTTTTACCAAAGAAATTCTCCCTTGGGACTGGGTATGATGGCCCAGATGTATAATCCCAGGACTTTGAGAGGCTAAGGTGAGAAGATACATTAAGACCAGGAGTTTCAGGACAACCTAGGCAATAAAGTGAGAAACTCTGTCCAAAAATAAAAATGAAAGAAAAAGAAAGAAAGAAATCTTCTCTTGGGAAGGAATTATAGACAACTTTAAAGACTTAGCCACAAGCAGGGCTCGGTGGCTCAACCTGTAATCCCGTGCTTTGGGAGGCTGAGGTGAGTGGATTGCCTGAACCCGCGGGTTCGAGACCCGTCTGGGCAAATTGGCGAGACCTCATCTCTACAATAAATCAAAAATTAGCCGGGTGTGGTAGCACGCACCTGTAGTTCCAGCCACTTGGAAGGCTGAGGCGGAAGGATCGCCAGAGCCCAGCAGGTCAAGGCTGCGGTGGCTGGGAGCGGCCACTGCACTCCAGTATGGGCGACAGAGTGAGACTCCAACTCAAAAAAAAAAAAGATTTAGCCACAAAAAATGAGTGTTCACTGTGTAGTAAAATATTACAAATGATCTAATTGGGTATGAAGTAAATAACTGTACATTGGAATATTGTTCAGGTACTATAACAGGATCACATCAAATTATAATAATTAATCAAGGAAACTTTTAGATACATTTAAGGGATTGCACAGTTTATAAGTATTTCTGGAAACAAAAGGTGTCCCGAGTCAATCTGACTGGTACAGTATCTGAAATTATAAGATTAAGTTGTCAGTAGAAAGCAAATAATGGGAAAGAAGGATGCAAAGATGATGGGTAGAATCACAAAAGACAGGAGGGTTTGGGCCATATATGGTGTGTATGCTTACTATTATCTGGAAATATACTATAAGAAAATAGCTAGCCAGGTGCAATGACTCGCACCTGTAATCCTAGCACTTTGGAAGGGGACTCGAGACCACCCTGGGCAACTTGGGGAGACCTTGTCTCTACGATTAAAAAAAAAAAATTAGGCCGAGCTATGGCTCAGCCTGTAATCCCAGCATTTTGGGAGATTGAAGCGAGTGGATTGCTGGAGCCGGCAGGTTCAGGATCCACCTGGGCAATTTGGCGAGACCTCGTTGCCACAATAAATAAAAAATTAGCAGGGCATGGTAGCACATGCCTGTAGTTCCGGCTACTTAGAAGGCTGAGGCGTAAGGATCACAGGAGCCCAGCAGGTTGTTGCTGGGGTGGCCATGAGTGTGCCACTGCACTCCAGCCTGGGCAACGGAGAGACTCCAACTCAAAAAAAAAATTAAAAAATAAATAAAAATTAGCTGGACAAGGTGGCCCACATCTATGGTTCCAACTACTTGGAAGGCTAAGGTGGAAGGATAGCCTGACCCTAGCACATCGAGGCTGCGGTGGTTATGAGCATGCCAATGCACCCCAGCCTGAGTGACAGAGTGAGACTCCGACTCAAAAAAAAAAAAAAGGACAGTCAGTTAGTTCAGGTCCTGGAGTGAATTAATTAAATATTTTATTTTAGAAACCTATTGTTTCTTTAATTTTTTTTTTTTTTTTT